TTGTAAGATTTCAGCAGGTAGGAACCGAGAGCTACTCGTCTTGTGACCACCCAGGGCCAGTCTCGTGAGTATGTCCCCTTTCTTACAAAACCTGCCACCTACCAGTCTGGAAACGGTTCGCCTCTTTCTTCTGTCTGTCCCTGCCCTCCGTGTCCAGAGGGCCAGTTTTGAATTTCAATCCCGCCCGCCCCCTGCCCACCCCACCGTGAAGCTCCCAAGGTTGGAAACTAACAACCGGGGAGGCAGTTAGGAAACTGAAGAATGGATCTTGGGAAACATCCGGGGGGGACTGCTGACTTGGCCATTGACCCCTCTCTATGGAGAGGGGTGACCTGTACGTTAGATGCTTTGGGCACCCGGTGAGTTCAGGGGCACCCGGAAAATGCCGACTGGTCTAACGCGAGTGTTTGAGGAACTGGGCAGAGAGCCCGGAGGTATGGGAGAGAAACATGGGGCTGCGCGGTGGACTGGGCTCTGTCGTCCAACTAGAGGTTGAGTTCAAATCAGGAAATTAGGAGAACAGGGTGGAGAGGATGTGCAGGTGTCCACCACTCTGCTAGTTTGGGGCTGGCAGATAAATCGGGAGCACAGGAGACAATACTGGAACCCTTAGCATGCAAAGCCAGGAGGGCTTACGCACCGCTGATCAAGTTCCGGGAGCTTTGGACAAAGCGTCTTTCTTTGGTCTCCCATTGCCCACCAGGTGTGCGGACCAGTGTCAGATTTCACCCAAGCAACAGATACAGAGATACAGTTGAACAAAAAGGATTCTAAAGTCTCTGGTCCAGGGAGAATCTCTTGCAGTGACGTTTTCTTCTGAGGAGTTTATGATATTCATGCCAAACATAATGTATATGTCATTTGTACCTTTGCTACGGGGAAAAGAGAGAGGAGAGAGGGCAGATACAATTGTCTTCATCTCACTTATAATCAGCTTAAAATGACATGATCTTTTAGGAAGGAATGGCAGATAGTCCTGTTTATTCTACTTTGCTTGGATTGAAATGGAAAATATCTTTCAATTCCTGGGTCAGCTTTGTTAGGCAGTGGTTGCCTGGAGAGCTGTGTTCAGAAGGAATCTGAGGCCATAAGCAGATGTATGTAACAGGAAGGTCGTTAATTGTTATAAAATTAATTATCAAAGTCATGGGTGTAAGGAGGGAGAAAAGCTACACTTTGAAATTTGTTTGGTATTCTTGGTCTGGTTTCATGTTAACAGGTTGCACTTACTAGATGAGGCACCCTGAAAGTCTTCCAGAATTTTAACTTACTAGGTATTACCATTAAGGTCCAGGGCTTCAACCTACAGGAAATTAAGCAGAAAACAAAATGTACTGTGGGATATTGGAAGTTCATTGACTCTTCAGGAAGGCTGGAGAACCTAGCTCACAAAATTGGCAGCAACCAAAATAACCTGGGGGCTTGCCTATGGCTCAGTGGTAAATCCACCTGCAGTGCAGGAGACATGGGTTTGATCCCTCAAACAGGAAGATCCCCTGGGTTTGATCCCTCAAACAGGAAGAACCCACTCTGGTGTTCTTGCCAGGAAAATCCCATGGACAGGGGAGCCTGACGGGCTACAGTCCATAGGGTCACAAAGAGCTGGACACGACTGAAGTGACTGAGCATGCATGCAAGATAACCTGGGCCATGGGCAGGCAACGTTGGTATTCATGGATACTTACCACTGCTCTGGGACCTTCCCTGCAACACTCATGGGCTTTTGAAAAGGTTTTTGAAACTTTTTACAAAAAATTTTAATGTTTCATATAAAACAGTATAATGAAGCTCATTATACTGAGCTTCCATGCATTCATTCCCAGATTCCTTGATTATTACAATTCTGTCAGTCCTATTTAATCTATCCCCCATTTAAAAATAATTTTTTTGCTGGAATATTTTGAAGCAATTCTAGACATCATAATAAGTCACTTGTAAATATTTTAAAGGTTTCACTCTCAACTTAAAAACTTTACTTACAACACAATTACACTAATTCAGGATGCCATGTATAAACTAAATTTTTGTTGAACTTAGTCATTAATTGACCCTTTATTACTTTGTCAAGTTTCATCATTTCATGCCTACACTCTTGTAGCCCAGGAGTTAGGTTGTCCCTTGGTCATCCACTATGGGAGATGGCCAACCATCTTGGAGTCATCAGTACTCTCAAATAAGGGTGTATCCCATCTGGGCAGACACAATGGTAGATGAGGCATAGTGGAGTTTGGAACATGGTCACACAGTCATTTAGCCACTTGTCAAAATTGCCATTTATGTTTCCCATTTGTTTTTGACTTATTGCCGAGCATTCTTCTAGAATTTCAGAAATATAGTTTGATAGTCATTGAGTTTTTATTTAAAATGATATGGTTTCCACCTGGTTGGAAGGCTATTTTCTTCTTGGGAGGGTTATTAGCAATTATGTATGTAAATCTATGCACGCTTTCTTTTGATACATTCTCTTGGGAAAAATTACACCAAGAAATTATTAAGGTACATGAAAACAACAGTTAAAATTCCCAGAGGATAATTGAGGCATTGAATATATTTACATATTTTAAGTCATCCAACCAATATCACTTGAGGGTGACAGGGTTGAGGAAAGAATGTTAAAATAGTAATTTTCCCTGTTTTGACCAATGAATGTGAAAAAGAATTAAGGTTATGGACTATAGAGTTTCCAGAAGTAAGATGGAGACAACTGCAGGCTCTTGGCTTTATCTGGTAGGATCCTTGCTTAATGCAAATTTCTGGGGTTTCCTTATATGAGAAATGGGATACATAATTCTTCTTTATCTTCTTGTTTTGATTCACATATTTGGCATCATTTGCACTTCCTTTGTCTTTCATTATTTTTTATCTTCATTATCGCTGGGGATCATGAGTGCTAATCACAATCTAATTTCTACTGTCAGCCATTACTGGGGACTACAATTATCAAAATAAATTCAGCAAATACCTATTGATTAGTACTGATATATCCATTATGGAGATGGAGAGCCTAGCAAGGTTTTGCATCCTCAGGAGGATCAGGGAAGATGAGAGGCAAACCCGTAAATAAAGGTATCAGAAAGAAGCTAAAGTAAAAAGCTTTTAGAGTTTAGAGACGGAAAAGATTATGTTTATTTTTGCCTGGAGAGATCAGGGAAGGCTTTCTGGAGTATGTGGCATTTGAATTGGCTTTAAATACTGGCTTAAAGCCATTTAATGTGGAAGAGGCACATTCAGAAAGTATGGGCAGGCTCTAGAAATTGCCCAGCTTAAAGGTGTGTGCACAAGTGCTTGCATGCACGCATGTGTGTAAAGGGAACAATGTTGATGAATCCAACAATCCCAGTTGGATTCTGACTGAAAACAAGACATTTCAGAGTTTATTAGTAAAGTCTGTAAGAGAAAAGGGTTTCCCAGATGCTTCAGTGGTAAAGAATCCACCTGCCAATGCAGGAGACGCAGGAGACTTGGGTTTGATTCATAGGTCAGGAAGATCTCCTGGAGGAGGAAATGGCAACCTACTCTAATATTCTTGCCTGGAAAATTCCATGGACAGAAGAGCTTGGTGGGGTGCCGTCTATAGGGTCGTAAAGAGTTGGATACAAGTGAACATGCACACATAAGAGAAAAATCATTCAAAGTTAGTAAGAAAAGCTTTACAGAGAAATGTCATGGTCACATAGCTTTTCCTAGTTGGCAGCACCTTAGTGGGGTGTACACCTCCACCAGGCCCGGCTCTGTGGGACAGGCTGCCATAGTGGACCCAAAGCCCGCTTAAGGAGGTGCCCTGGTGACCAGTGCTCCCCGGCTACACCAGCAGACCTAACCCATGCTTCTTGGGGTTTTACATATGTCACTTCCTCATTGTGACTCCTGCTTTGTCTTTCACTGGTAGTGTAGCCTCTGTGTGCCCCGGTACTGAACTGAATCTCAGAGACACAGTTTTGGGTGAAGCAGAAAATAATAGCTTTATTGCTTTGCCAGGCAAAGGGTGGACACAGTGGGCTAATGACCTCAAAACTGTTTGTTCCAGCCTGAAAGTAGTCGTGAGGAGGTGTATAGTAATGGCTCAAAGAGGAGGATGTGATCTGCTCATGGACATTCTTCTGATTGGTTGGTGGTGAGGTGAGTGGGAGTCAGCATCATCAACCTTCTGGTTTCTACTGCTCTGGGGTCTCTGTGCTAGTGGGCAGCATGCAATTAACTTCTTTTACCTGGTGGGGGTTTCAGGCTCTGCAAATCAGCTTAAAGGTGCTGTTCTCTATATCCCCTGAGGGGAAATCAGGATCCTGCCCCAAAGCTGCACTATTGTTTTTTGACCCAGCCCAGCCTGTCTCAGCATCCCTCTCCCTTCCCTGATTAGCAACTCTGTGAAACTGCCCTTTGGAACTCAGGGGTCACGTAGGCTGAATGAAGCCTATTTCCTGCCAAAAAGGAACTCAGGGGATAGAAAGACTTTTGTGCCCAGGAGCCCCAGAATGTCCTGTTCGGTTTTGGTAGGGCTGGGCACCAATCCAGAACTGAGGGAGAGAGCTTTGCAGTAGAGTCTTGCTTTTGGTTTTATGCTAAAATCAGCAGAAGCTAGGTCAGGAGCTCAGACTGTGAATACCTTTCTGTCATGGTCTGCGGGTGGGTTGAAAAAGAATTTCCAGACGTGAGGCAGAATGAGAGGAGAATTAAAGTTTATTAGAATGGGAGATGCTGTTAGAACAGTGGGTTGGCTCAAGGGAGAGCCAAACTTGAACGTGGGTCCTTGGTCCGTTTTTATAGCTTGGGGACAAGGAGCAGGGCAGGGGTCTTGTGAGTCATTTGCTGACTGGATGAGGTAGGTATACCCGATGGGAGAAGAGTAAGGTAAATACGTTTTTCTTATATGAAGTAGAAGGGGAGACAGGCCTTACAACTCAGGAGGGTTCAAAAATTCCATAACTGTTACAACATGGTGGAAAGGATGATAAGGGTCTGGTTTTTTTCCGTTCCTGCATTCCACGACACTTCTCGTTCACCTTGTTCTTTTGTCCTTGGGGCACCACACTTTTCATCCTGCGGAGTGAGTGAGCCTGGGTGTGAATATGGGCTCCAGCGCTTAGAATCTGCGTGATTTCTGACACGTTGTTTAGTCTCTGTTTCAGTGTTGTCTCATCTGTAACATGGTGGGAGCCATACTATTTTCTCACTGTGTGTGAAGTTAACAGTGTAAAGTGTTGAACAGTCTTGCTGACTTGTGCTCTCGCTGGTGCAGAGCGTGGGGAGGAGCCTTGGAGGGGGAAGGGGCACTGATGGGCCTGTGGCTGGTCTTGTATGTCAGGCCAGGAAGCTGAGGCAGGGGCCATCCTGGCTGCAACAAGAGCTGGGCCTGGGTGAGCGTCTTTATTTCTGAGTTTGAGGTTATTTCCAGCAGACTGGGAGTGAAGCTAATCCCTTTCTAGGTACCGCAGGAAAACTGGGTCCCTCTCCCGTGGTTTCTAAGGTTACTGGAGGAGGGCTGTGTACCCAGTGTCCTGCACAAGCCTGTCATACAATGAAATGGCATGTGATTGCATCAAAGGAGTGGCCGGTGGGGGCATATATATGACTCCTAAGGACTCATCGTATGCCAGAAAGTGTCCCTTCTAAGGCAGGTCACACGAGAGTGCCAGGGATTACAGGATGCAAATGCTTGTCTGGGGAGATAGGCTTGTCAAGCTTAAAAGCCCAAGACCATGGTTTAAAGGAGTAAGAAGTGAAAATTCAGGTTGACTGTAAATCTTTGAGCCATTTTGTGCATCGTGAAGGTATTGCTTTAGTCAACACAAAAGGCTTACACTGCTGTTCTGAACAAGCTTTGCAGAGCAGAAAATGTAAAAAAGTAAGATTAGCTCAGGGAAAATCAGTGCCCTGGAGCCCGCGGGGCTGCCCATCAACTGCAGCTCACTAGCCAGAACCAGCTTGGCTAGGATGAATTAGCCCAGGATGAATTAAGTTCCTGCAGTTCCTGTGGGCTGAGTCTGAGTGTCCCGGGAGGGAGCCAGCCCAGGGTTCAGCGGAAGGACTGGGAAGGGAGTGAAAGCCTGGGAAAGCATTTGAGGTGAGCCATTGGTGAACATATATTCAAGGGCAGGAGAAAGGTCCTCGTCAGTTCTGTCCTGGGTGAGCACAAGGCTCCCGGCCCCCAATCTCTTGCCCAGGAACCTCTCACTGAGAAGATAGCCCCCTGTAAAGAGTTCTTTATCCAGAGTTGACTTAAAACCATTGAGGGAAAGTCAGCTTCTGAATATGACAAGAGGCCACATTGTCCAGTGGTTGCTATTTGTTTTTTTTCTAGGAGCATAATAAAATTTAGAAAAACTGATGAGGGCTACTGCATGTTTTGCCTCCTTGTGAGGGTGGCACTAGGTAATGGTGTCTGTCCAGCCATCTTAGCCTAAGAAGCTTTTGTCTAATCCAAACCTCTTATTACAGAAGAAAGAAAAATGTTCCAGACACAGGGAACTGTTTACCTGCAGGTTCTCAGCTCAGCCTGTAAGTGGCAGAGATGAGACAGGGACCCAGGTTCTCCCAGGTTTCGATTTTAGTATCTAATACACTTACCACAGCAATGTGCTGCGATTCTCTAAGTTGTTTACATATTGTAATTGCCTTAATATTCTCTTCTCTTTATCTGTTTAGATAAGCACCAAAGATTATGGGTCTCAGTCTGTACAAGCTGGCTGGCATCACTTGGGATATTGATATCACAGAAGGGAAATGGAAGTAGGTAGCAGCTCTGTTTTAGGTTCTTGATGTTTCCAAATGTCTCCAGTGATGAGCATTTGTTTGAAGAGTAAAGCTTACAGTAGGGCACAGAGTATCTTTCTTTCTATCAGGAAGATGCCAACAGCTAACAGCATCTTTCTTAGGGTTTCTGACATTTCCCAAAGAACCTTGCGAATTATTAGCAGTGACTTGGACAAATGAAGGACCTTAAACATTTTGTAGTACCATGTTTCGCCAAATGCATTACATTCATCAGTAGTTTGTGAGATGATTTTTAGTAGTGTAAAGATCAGACCTTTTATTTTATTAGTAGGTATAACTAGGTATTTATTTTAATATCTGTAATAAATCTGTAATGCAAAGATAATTAGTACAACAAACCTACAACGTTTCCTTGCTTAGAGTGAAGCTAATTATGAAAGGAAGTTGATTTAAAGAAAAATGTTAAATAACAGTATAAGTTTAAGTGCTACTCAAATTTGGCAAAAATTAGACCAGACATTATACATCTACATACACGTTTATAATTTAGTGAACTGAGGCCTCATATAACTTGTATCAATTGAATGATTGTAATAGTCTGCAAAACTTGAAAGCACAACAAATGGAACCAACAGTTAATTTATAATTATAATGGAGATTTTTATTCCCATGAATGGGGGAGAAGTTCATCTTGGCCCTTTCACAAATAGTAACTATGATCCAGTGGTTTGCCCAAGTGGATTTGGGATTCTTTTCTCAGTCCCAATGTGGTACCCTACTGCGGCACTCATCCCACTGGCTTCCCCTGAAGAGTCTCCTTTGGTGATTGATTAGGGTTTGGAAGAGGGAAGAGGGGCTTCCTCTTGTCCTCCAGTGTTTCTCTTCTAGGGTTATCTCTAGACGGCTTAGTCAGCCCTGCCTGGCATAGGTGGCATCACTCCATCCAGCCTGTGATGCAGGTAGTCTGTTCTGCCCACCTACACCTCCCCTGTACAGCAGTTTCCCCTCCCACTCCATGAGTGTGCACACACACACACACACACCCCGACCCTTACCTTCAGTGAGTGTTCACACACAGACCTCAGAGACAGTTTCTTTGCTTTTCTGAAAGGACCTTGGAGCCTTATGGATGTTTTCTAAGTTGATTCATTCTGCTGGACCCAGGTGGGTCTGGGGTTATCTTTGCCTGCCCTATCCAGCTGCACCTTTCTGCTAACTTTCCTCTCTTGTTCTCATGTCTTGTGGGTACCAGATGCATCTGTGGGGATTGCTACTGAGCTGGACTCTCTCTAATCACATGACTGCAGTCTCGCTGATAGGTAGGGGTGAAGGCACAGGGGCTCCATTCACAATCTCCACTCGTTTCCTCTCTGTCCATCCCTTTCCTCCTTGCCTTAGAGCTCTTCTTTCTTCTACCTGGCTCTCTAGGTGACATCCAGCCTCATGGCGACTAGCAATGAACAGGACAGAAGTGGTGCCTGCCCTCACTGAGCTTGCATTCCACTGAAGCTAGAAGACCAGAGAATTGACAAGTAATATAAAATAATGCAAATTATGATACAGTTTTCTAAAAGGAAGGAGGCCGAGATATAAGTAATGCTGCTGTGACTATCTCATGCTTCAAATTTTGCTCATTCTTCAGATTATGATAGATTCTTAAACGTGGAATTGTCAGGAAAAAGGTGATCATTTTCCAGCTTCTGAATACATATTTTCAAGTTTTCTTAGGTGGAGATTATAATTCAGAGAAGTTTAGGATTTTGGGGGGGGGTGTGTCCCTAATATTTTTGAGCTAGGAATTAAAGAAGGAAATAGTAATTAAAAAAGCAATTGTGGGACTTCCCTGGTAATCCAGTGGTTAAGAATCTGACTGCCAGCACAGGGGATATGGGTTTGATCCCTGGTCTGGGACGATTCCACATGCCGTAGGGAAATTAAACCTGTGGGCTGCAGTTACTGTGCCCACACGCTGCAACTACTGAAGATCATGCGCCCTAGAGCCTGTGCTGGGCAAACAAGAGAGGACACTGCAGTAAGCCCACACCTTGTAACGAGAGTAGCCCCTGCTTGCTGCAACTAGAAAAAGCCCCGGCACAGCAACAGAGAGCACAGCCAGAGAGCACAGCCAGAAATAAACAAATACAAAAACAGTTATGGGACTTCCCTGATAGACTAGTGGTTAAGACTCTGTGCTGCAAATGGAGGGGGTGCCGATTTGATCCCTGGCTGGAAAACTGAGATCTTACATGCCATGTGGCCCAGCCAAAAGAGTAAAAACAAACAAAAGAAAACCTCACAAACAAAACAGTTTTGTATCAGTCAAGGTCCAATAAGGAGACAGTAGCCACATAGTTATTTAAGTAAGGAAGTTTTAATGTAAAGAATGAACTATATCAGTGTCTTACCTACTAAGGAGTAAGAGCCATATAAAACACGTGAATGACAGATAAAAGGGAAGAGTCACCATCTCTAGAGCTGTGACAGAGAGCTAAGGAATAGACGAATCTTGAAGAGACTCCTCCATTTGGGCAGAAGTCTAGATCTCATTAGAGAGGGTGTGGCTGTGTTCATGGGGTGGTGAAATTTGCTGCGGTGTTGCACCCGAGGGACTCACTGGCCACCTAACCTCCAGGGGACCAGGGGAAGTTGTCCCCAGAGACGTGCCTGGTGCAGAACTTGTCAGGGACACACTTGTGAGGCTGGTGTTGCTGAGACTCTTGGGGTCAGAAGGGAGTGCAGTGTCAGTGCCTCCAGCCAGTGGCTGCCCTAAAGGAGCGAACAGAGGGGATGACGCCAGAGCCAGGAGGAGAAGGCTGTTCCTCCTCCAGGGTCCCCCCAGTGCCCTTCAGCAACCAAGTTTTATGATGTGCCAGTTGATAGGGAGACAATGTCCCAGCATCCTAGAGGCCAACAGAGAGGGTGGATTTGAAACTGAGAGGCAAATACATCAACTCCTGTTCTTCTTTGTTTGAAGATCACTTCTGGGGGCATTAATTCTCCAGTACATTTGGCCACATCCTGTACAAGCCAGTCATATTTTTGTAGCTAGAGAAAACCCTCAATTAATTGACCTGTGATAAGAAGTGCTCAGTTTGTACTGAACAGTAGATGCACTGGGGATATGGATGTAGTGCCCAAAGCATCTGCAGTGGATGCTCTTCACTCACAGTGTGTATATATATATTTTTTTTTAAGTTTTTTTTTAATGTGGACCATTTTTAAAGGCTTTATTAAATATTGCTTCTGTTTTATGTTTTGGTTTTTTGGCCGTGAGCCATGTAGAAATCTTAGCTCCCCAGCCAGGGATCGAACCCACAACCCACTG